ATATCTTGTTAAAAGAAAAACCCCGCTCTTTTAAAACTTTTATTTTTTAATTCGCTCATTTCTCAAAATTTTCTCATTACTTGCTTGAGTCACATTATATAAGTGAGAAACATTCTTCCAAAATTTCATCTACTTGTAACCAATTTTCTGATTTTGAGACAATTTGTCATTTTATGGTTCATTTTAACTTTTCCTCTGAATTGATTAATCTTTTTTAATAGAAAATTTTATTACTTAACTGAGAGCTATAGGAAAGATTATCATAGGTATAAAATCATCTTTAAAGATAAGGCACATACTTTGGATTATAGATTATAAACACAAGGTAATAGGACCCAAATAAATATATTGTGTTCCAAAAATGCAATATGTTGTTGTTGTTTCTTATCCCCTTGTGTAAAGATTACACGAATTACATGAGTTCATGCTCCTCGAGCTGTTTTATGATGAGCAGCGGCCTCTTCCAAAGGTCCTGTTCAGTACATCTAATACAAGCCAAAATGTGTTCTGGAGCTGCAGGTGCCAAGCTACATTTTGGGCAAGTGGGGTAGATTTTGTTATTATTTTCTATCTTCAATGGCTTGAGATGGCCAAAATGAGATGGAAAATGCAATATAACAGCGGTATGGTAGATTAAACTGGCGAAACCGCTAGGAGGGTTCATCACTGATGAGCCAGGCCCTCCCTTTATATTTTTCCATTGCAGTAAGGGCAGTATAAATTATTTTATTTCAAAAAGAATCTTACGCGTTTAAAATAGTTTCGAATTTTGATATTGTGTTGTGTTTATCATCTTTAAGGGAAAACTTATACGTTTCAAATTTTAAAAATTACTTTAAATATTTTATGTTAATGATTAGACATATAGAAATAAGATAGGTCACCTCTCCCTTCAAAATAGATGCAGACTTTATGCGATATTTACAAGTACACTCATGGACAAAACTTAAGGAATTGGAAAGTCTTTGATGTCGTCGGTCGACAATTTTTTTTTTTTTGTAAGAGACAGAGGAAAATTTGTTTACTTGAAAGCAGTTCGACTGTGCACTTACAAGTGTGCCAGATCCCCGTTTGGTTACTTACACTTACTGGTGGGGTTAGTTTTTTTACAAGAATCCGGGGCCATTGGAGCAATTTTCTCTTCCGAAAAAAATATCCCCAATGCGGGATTCAATACCAGTTCGTGGCTGTCAAAAACCGAAAGTTTTTTTTTCATTCGTCTAGCAACCTCGATAAAATAAAATGAGACCAAATATTAGAAATTACAAGTGTGCCAGAGACCTGTTTGGTTACATGCATTTACTGTTGAAGTTGTTTGACATTTTACAAGAATCGAGGGTCATATTGAAGCAATCTTTTTAGAAAAAAAAAAAAAGATCAATGTGGGATTTTTAAAATATTTTACTTCAATTTAAAGCGCTATGTCCTTCTAGGGACACTTACGCTGTCATACATGTATGTCTTTACATTTGTCTATACATATTTACAATCATTTTAGGGCCGTGAATAGAATAGTCATATGATATTAACAATGAGAAAGAGAGAAAAAACGAGAATAAAAAGAACTGTGTACAAAAGAAAGAAGTGTCTTGGCAATATGTACAATAAACATAATATACACACACACAAGCCTTTTTTATTGGGGCATCCAGCCCTATACATGATTCCCCTCTACAGGATTTAGCAAAGGAAGATATTTCAAAAGTAAAAACTAGAATACAAGAGGTAATAAGGAAAAAGAAAAGAGAGAAGAAAGAAAAAAACAAACAAAAAGAAATATAACCATATATACAAAAAAATAAACCTACAGAGCAAAAGGAACCGTACATGGTTAAATATTTAAATTAAAGTACCAATGTTTAGATATGTCAAGGTTAGGATATCTTTGAGAGGGCTAGTGTGGAATCAGCCGCATTCAATCTTCGCTTTCTTCCTCCAAGCAAACCACGACAATAAACATAATATAAATTATCAGTTTCCTAAAAGATATTTGTTGCTATATAATTTAGAATATATCTAAAAAAAGGTATTAAATTTAATATACATTTCATTACTGGAAATAAAAATACTCGGAGAGATTGAATATTTTTATTAATCGTTCATATAAGATTATATTGAGTTAAATATAGGGAGAGAGAGAAATACTTGGTTACCCTGGACATATTCTCCATTCGTAAATTTTATATAAAGTAATTTATAATACAATATAATGCGGTTTATGATTGTAGAACGACATTTGAAATTATCCCGCATGTGTTTCCCATCCCTGATCACTTTATTTTTCCGTTTATCATTACTCTTCACAATTCATCCTTTCATACTACATCCCTAAGGTTAGAAATAATCGTTATTTTCTCCTTAAAATTAATTTCGATTTTTCGTTCAAAATAAACACATGCGAGATATTTTCAAAATGTCGTTCTACAATCATAAGCCGCATTATATTGTATTATGAATTACCTTATCTTGTGTAGTTAATAAAAACCTTATTTGACCACGTGTTGGTGATTGGGGAGATTCAACGACACAACAATTTATAGAAAAAGATTATCCAAGTTTATCTGTATAAAACAATACTTATCTAGAGATGGACAATTCTCCCTCAGTAGATAAATAAAATAAATAAATAAAAATGATACTTTTCTGAATGGAATTTTTCCTTTATTCCATATGTAATGGCCTCTTTACTGAGAGCTGAGAGCCGATAATAAAGAAACAAAATGAATTATTTACACAGATATTTACACATGTTAGATGTAAAAGCTATTCTACACTTCACCATTTCACCTATTTACATTTCAATAAAGTAATAAAAGAAAGCTTGTTTGTAAATCTCTTAACTATAGATAACATTTGTGAAATCACTTTTTTCTATTTTTGATATTTAATGTATAGATAAAAACACAATTTTTTTCGGGAATAAAAAAATAAATTCAATTGGTATTGTTATACACCAGAGATAAATTTATTGGATAAAACTTACAATAAAAGTTAACAAATTAGGAAAAAAGGCATCTCTTGATCATCCAACTAAAAGTCGATGATGGCTTGCGCCATCTATCGGAATAAATATTAACTACAAATGTTAAGGTCCCTTGTCCTTAACGAATTAGAAGCCGTATGGCGTTTACTTTTAGAGGACTGTATCTGCAATCACCACTTCTGTGACTACCCAGGCGACACTCCAATGGTGCCGATAATGACTCTACCAAAGAAAGGTAAAGCACAACTAAATACTATTTTATTTATTTCGTCTCAATTTACAGGTGTTACATTCGAGTCACCTTGTCCTGGCTATTTACACATGGCGAGTTGGTGGAGTAGAGGTGGTCCCCCTAGGCCTTGCAGAAGGGCAGCTGTTGGGCGATGAGCTCTTAACTAAGTGTCAGGGCCGGGTCGTCGGAATCGGGGATTGATATCTCCTTTATTTTGTAGAATATATTGTATGGTTGGATTATTTGAATTTTGCATTTGAAGGTATAATTTCTTAACGGAAGTTTGGTACATATCTTTTAGATCGGGTTGGTTCAAGTCCTCCTTCTGTATCTTGTTTGATAGGTTGAATGGAGCTCCTATACTTGTCCGAAGGCAGATTCTCATAAATGCGTTTATCCTATTTTAACTAAATACTACTCACTAACTCACACTTTTATTTGAAAAAAACCTCAATTATATACAAATATAGTCATTAGTCAATATACACGTATATACACCTATCCCCCGATTTACACGGTACTTGTTTTACACGTTTTCGCTTTTACACGGTTTTCCAAATAGTTTTTTATTTGTTTTTATCGCACTATACTAAATGCGATATTCTACTCTATACTACCTATGTTGAAAAGAATATTGGGAGGCTCTGATTCATGAGGGGGCGAACACCTATTCAGATTTGACAGTTTAATATACACCTATCCTTCGATTTACACGTTTTTCTCAGGAACGTATCTACCGTGTAGATCGGGGGATAGGTGTATAATCATATAACAATAAAATTAAATATTAATAAACAAAGAATACATCTCACGAAACTTAACACCTAGTTTATTTTTTATTATTACAGAATTGGCTAAATACCCATTATTGATGGTGCAAGCCATCAGAAACTTTTATTTTCACCATCAGGATATGTCTTTTTCTTAATTTATACACATGATTCCATTTATCCATATAATTTCATTTTTGTACTATTGTTTCAGATTTTATATAAAAAATATACACTTCGGCCAGTTAGAGTTTTTTATTTTCTCAACGTTTCGACAAAAATCTTTTGTCTTTGTCAGGAGAAGTAAATAAAGCATTTGGCAAGGCGTTAAACATTGTTCTGAGGTTGCAAGGGCGTTCTCACGTGATTTTTCGAATTTAGTACAACATCTAAAGCACGAGTCAAAAGTAAATATTAAACTCGCCAAAGACTATGATCTTGGAAATTGTTTCACAGTTGACAATTTGTTTCTTCTACAGAAGAACAAACTCAAGTCAGGGAGAAGAGCTTCTTTTTATAAGAGGATGATGGTACAAGCTTTCGGACAAGATGTCTTTCAATGGGTACAGAATGATACGAGTGGCAATGGTTATATATGTATATAGAAAATAATTTTTAAAATAAAAATACACCTATCCCCCCGATTTACACGGTACTTGTTTTACACGTTTTAGCTTTAACACGGTTTTCCAAATAAGTTTTTTTTTTATCGCACGATACTAAATGCTACTGTGATTGAACACATGCGCTGTGTACACATCTCACGAGGAATCCCGAGCTTATGTGCTGAATTGCTGTGTCTGTATTTCTAATTAAAAAAAAAAATGATTTTCGATTTACACTTTTTTCTCATGAACGTATCTACCGTGTAAATCGGGGGATAGGTGTATATTAAAAAGGTCAGATGTCGATATAAAAAAAAAAACAAATTAGGCATACCCTGACCACTAACATGAACGTTTTAGAAAATAGGCTGGCCAAATAACAGGGGTATCAATCCGTTATGCTTTTGTCAAAATTCATAGCACATTGGAAACACCGCTTCTTGTCCGATCACCGAAGTTAAGCAACGTCCTGTCCAGTCAGTACTTGGGAGGGTGACCACCTGGGAACACCGGGTGCTGTAGGCTTTGACCCTCTTTTTATTTATTTATTTATTTTTTGTACACGCTTGTTCGGCGGTACAACTACTACAATAGGAAATATACAGAGAAAATTAGCATGGCCCCTGTGCAAAGATGGCACACAAAATCGTTTTTTTTTTTTGTTTATCCCTAGTACACGTGGTACAGGCCATGATAATCATGATGGGTAGAAGAAGGCGACTGCTTTTTACTGTAAGTACACCACATGTCTACACATGTTAAAAGCAGTTCGATTTTTGCACTTACAAATATCTTTTATTCCGGTCTTCTCAAGCTTTCGGGCTTGTCCGCCCTTCTACAGGAGAAACATATACAATATATCGAGAAAATATAACGCCGCCTGATCAGGCGGCGTTATATTTTCTCGATATATTGTATATGTTTCTCCTGTAGAAGGGCGGACAAGCCCGAAAGCTTGAGAAGACCGGAATAAAAGATACTCATCTCCATAAACGTTTTACCTTGATATCAGATATCTAAAGGAGATTTAAATTTATTCACTTACAAATATGCCAGAACCCCGTTTGGTTACTTGCACTCGCTAGTGAAGTTGGACTTTTTGAAGAATCGGGGGCCATTGGAGAATTTTTTTTATCAGAAAAAAAGTGCCCAATGCGGGAATCGAACCTGGGTTGTAGCAGTTACGCAAAATCGTGAAGCGTTCCTCCATGCTTATCTTGTATAGAATCAATTAGGATTGATTAGAGAATTTGTGTTTAGAAATAAATTAAGGTATACGGGGTGATATAAACAGCGCGGTATAAAATAAATTTTAATTAAATTTGACTAGAAGTTATAAACATGCTAATTTGTAAACACAAAAGATCAGTTAATCAAAATGAAAGGCCATCTATCGGTGCTTTATATTGTCATTCTATTAAGTTAGCTGATTTAATGGCAGAGAGAGAGACAGTCTTGCTAAATTTATAACCCATAATAGATTCTGTCGATATTTTCTGAATTGAAATTTTGACATCCAGATAAATATGCAAATATAACTTTATTAAGACCAGTAGTAATATACCGATTCACCACAGGAAGGAAGCATAGATAGAACTCCTATACTCCAGGTAGCCCAGAACCCAACAACAGCCTCCAGGGTCTTATACAGATTCACCACAGGAAGGAAGCGTAGATAGAACTCCTATACTCCAGGTAGCCCAGAACCCAACAACAGCCTCCAGGGTCTTATACAGATTCACCACAGGAAGGAAGCGTAGATAGAACTCCTATACTCCAGGTAGCCCAGAACCCAACAACAGCCTCCAGGGTCTTATACAGATTCACCACAGGAAGGAAGCGTAGATAGAACTCCTATACTCCAGGTAGCCCAGAACCCAACAACAGCCTCCAGGGTCTTATACAGATTCACCACAGGAAGGAAGCATAGATAGAACTCCTATACTCCAGGTAGCCCAGAACCCAACAAAAGCCTCCAGGGTCTTATAGAGATTCACCACAGGAAGGAAGCATAGATAGAACTCCTATACTCCAGGTAGCCCAGAACCCAACAAAAGCCTCCAGGGTCTTATAGAGATTCACTACAGGAAGAAAGCATAGATGGAGCTCCTATACTCCAGGCAGCACAGAACCCAACAAAAGCCTCCAGGATTTTATACAGATTCACCACAGGAAGAAAGGAAGCATAGATAGAGCCCCTATACTCCAGGCAGCACAGAACCCAACAACAGCCTCCAGGGTCTTATACAGATTCACCACAGAAAGGAAGCATAGATAGAGCTCCTATACTCCAGGAAGCACAGAACTCAACAACAGCCTCCAGGGTCTTATACAGATTCACCACAGGAAGGAAGCATAGATAGAGCTCCTATACTCCAGGCAGCACAGAACCCAACAACACCCTCCAGGGTCTTATACAGAGACACCACAGGAAGGAAGCATAGATAGAGCTCCTATACTCCAGGCAGCACATAACTCCAGGGTCTTATACAGATTCACCACAGGAAGGAAACATGGATAGAGCTCCTATACTCCAGACAGCACAGAACCCAACAACAGCCTCCAGGGTCTTATACAGATTCACCACAGAAAGGAAGCATAGATAGAGCTCCTATACTCCAGGAAGCACAGAACTCAACAACAGTATCCAGGGTCTTATACAGATTCACCACAGGAAGGAAACATAGATAGAGCTCCTATACTTCAGTCAGCACAGAACACAACAACAGCCTCCAGGGTCTTATACAGATTCACCACAGGAAGGAAGCATAGATAGAGCTCCTATACTCCAGGCAGCATAGAACCCAACAACAGCCTCCAGGGTCTTATACAGATTCACCACAGGAAGGAAGCATAGATAGAGCTCCTATACTCCAGGCAGCACAGAACCCAACAACAGCCTCCAGGGTCTTATACAGATTTACCACAGGAAGGAAGCATAGATAGAGCTCCTATACTCCAGGAAGCACAGAACATAACAACAGCCTCCAGGGTCTTATACAGATTCACCACAGGAAGGAAGCATAGATAGAGCTCCTATACTCCAGGAAGCACAGAACACAACAACAGCCTCCAGGGTCTTATACAGATTCACCACAGGAAGGAAGCATAGATAGAGCTCCTATACTCCAGGCAGCACAGAACACAACAACAGCCTCCAGGGTCTTATACAGATTCACCACAGGAAGGAAGCATAGATGGAGCTCCTATACTCCAGGCAGCACAGAACACAACAACAGCCTCCAGGGTCTTATACAGATTCACCACAGGAAGGAAGCATAGATGGAGCTCCTATACTCCAGGCAGCACAGAACACAACAACAGCCTCCAGTGTCTTATACAGATTCACCACAGGAAGGAAGCTAGATGGAGCTCCTATACTCCAGGCAGCACAGAACACAACAACAGCCTCCAGGGTCTTATACAGATTCACCACAGGAAGGAAGCATAGATGGAGCTCCTATACTCCAGGCAGCACAGAACACAACAACAGCCTCCAGGGTCTTATACAGATTCACCACAGGAAGGAAGCATAGATAGAGCTCCTATACTCCAGACAGCACAGAACACAACAACAGCCTCCAGGGTCTTATACAGATTCACCACAGGAAGGAAGCATAGATGGAGCTCCTATACTCCAGGCAGCACAGAACACAACAACAGCCTCCAGGGTCTTATACAGATTCACCACAGGAAGGAAGCATAGATAGAGCTCCTATACTCCAGACAGCACAGAACACAACAACAGCCTCCAGGGTCTTATACAGATTCACCACAGGAAGGAAACATAGATAGAGCTCCTATACTCCAGGCAGCACAGAACCCAACAACAGCCTCCAGGGTCTTATACAGATTCACCACAGGAAGGAAGCATAGGTAGAGCTCCTATACTCCAGGCAGCACAGAACCCAACAACAGCCTCCAGGGTCTTATACAGATTCACCACAGGAAGGAAGCATAGATAGAGCTCCTATACTCCAGGCAGCACAGAACCCAACAACAGCCTCCAGGGTCTTATACAGATTCACCACAGGAAGGAAGCATAGGTAGAGCTCCTATACTCCAGGCAGCACAGAACCCAACAACAGCCTCCAGGGTCTTATACAGATTCACCACAGGAAGGAAGCATAGGTAGAGCTCCTATACTCCAGGCTGCACAGAACCCAACAACAGCCTCCAGGGTCTTATACAGATTCACCACAGGAAGGAAGCATAGATGGAGCTCCTATACTCCAGGCAGCACAGAACACAACAACAGCCTCCAGGGTCTTATACAGATTCACCACAGGAAGGAAGCATAGATGGAGCTCCTATACTCCAGGCAGCACAGAACACAACAACAGCCTCCAGTGTCTTATACAGATTCACCACAGGAAGGAAGCATAGATGGAGCTCCTATACTCCAGGCAGCACAGAACACAACAACAGCCTCCAGGGTCTTATACAGATTCACCACAGGAAGGAAGCATAGATGGAGCTCCTATACTCCAGGCAGCACAGAACACAACAACAGCCTCCAGGGTCTTATACAGATTCACCACAGGAAGGAAGCATAGATAGAGCTCCTATACTCCAGACAGCACAGAACACAACAACAGCCTCCAGGGTCTTATACAGATTCACCACAGGAAGGAAACATAGATAGAGCTCCTATACTCCAGGCAGCACAGAACACAACAACAGCCTCCAGGGTCTTATACAGATTCACCACAGGAAGGAAGCATAGATAGAGCTCCTATACTCCAGGCAGCATAGAACCCAACAACAGCCTCCAGGGTCTTATACAGATTCACCACAGGAAGGAAGCATAGATAGAGCTCCTATACTACAGGCAGCACAGAACCCAACAACAGCCTCCAGGGTCTTATACAGATTCACCACAGGAAGGAAGCATAGGTAGAGCTCCTATACTCCAGGCAGCACAGAACCCAACAACAGCCTCCAGGGTCTTATACAGATTCACCACAGGAAGGAAGCATAGATAGAGCTCCTATACTCCAGGCAGCACAGAACCCAACAACAGCCTCCAGGGTCTTATACAGATTCACCACAGGAAGGAAGCATAGGTAGAGCTCCTATACTCCAGGCAGCACAGAACCCAACAACAGCCTCCAGGGTCTTATACAGATTCACCACAGGAAGGAAGCATAGGTAGAGCTCCTATACTCCAGGCTGCACAGAACCCAACAACAGCCTCCAGGGTCTTATACAGATTCACCACAGGAAGGAAGCATAGATGGAGCTCCTATACCCCAGGCAGCACAGAACACAACAACAGCCTCCAGGGTCTTATACACATTCACCACAGGAAGGAAGCATAGATAGAGCTCCTATACTCCAGGCAGCTTAGAACCCAACAACAGCCTTCAGGGTCTTATACAGATTCACCACAGGAAGGAAGCATAGATAGAGCTCCTATACTCCAGGCATCACAGAACCCAACAACAGCCTCCAGGGTCTTATACAGATTCACCACAGGAAGGAAGCATAGATAGAGCTCCTATACTCCAGGCAGCACAGAACCC